TATTTTTCGAATTAAATCAAATTGGCTCAATCAAAGATCTGATCCACTCTGACTGCTTTGACAGTTTTTTATGCTTTGATCAAGAAAAAATAATTTAAAATGTCATATAATTGGATACATATGTTTTGTAGCCAATAAAAAGAAACAGAATCGAGAAACGTTCCGAGAAGAATTCCGGGCACTTCCCACCGGGAGGAGACCCAGAGGGACACCCAGGACACGTTGGGGGGGAATATGTTTCTCGGCTGGTCTGGGTACACACCTTGGGATTCCCCCAGAGAAAGTGACCCTAGTGGCTGGGGAGAGGGACGTCTGGGTATCCCTGCTGAAGCTGCTACACCCGCGACCGGATGGACGGACGGACGGACGGATGGATGGATGTTATTTTCAGCTGAGTCGTGTTCTAGTTCCTCCCTCAATGACAATAAAAACAGATTAGCAATCTTTACATCAGAAACCTATATATGGATTTAGTTTCTTCCAATGGCAGATCATCATAACAGTGTTTTATATACGAATAGAAATAAAAATTACATCTAAAAACAATTTAAAGCATATAATGGCTTGTATTTCTCTTTTCTACCTCCTTATTTTGGTTAATTTAAGTAATCAACTGTGTTCAATTCTGCCTCATGTACATAATCTGTCAGCAATAGCACTTTCAAGTATGTGTATATATTAATCATTTGACTTTTGATTTTAAATGTTTGTGCAATTATCTTTTTGTTCATGGTTTTATAGGCCACCCCAAAAACTGATAGGATAGAAGCACTAATCCTGCTTTTTGGTTCAGTCCCCCAAAAAAAAAAAAAAAAAATCTGCAGTAACATGATTCAGCCTCGCTAAAGATGACAAGCTAGCTGTCAATATGAATAATGATGAGTAGGGAAAAGAGCAGCCTCAGCAGCGCCTGGATAAATGACAAAGAGATGGAGTTTGATGAGGTGGTTGTCTTTCCTCGCCACGCTCCGCAATGACAGGAAGGGGGGGGGGGGGATAACGGCCGTGTGCTCCAGTGGTGCTGCATCTCTATGTGCAAGTTCTCAGGGTCAATCAGCCTTGCAAATGGGAATAGAAGGACGCCAGACAAGAAGACTGGAAAAGATAAAAAAAATGCTAGAAATGATTGAGGAGAGGGAATTAGACCGCTAGTGTGTGAGATTCCCACTCCGCAAACATTGGCAGAGCCATTAAGTTGGTTAAGTGAAAGAAAAAAAATCTCTCTAGCTTCAAATTGCTCAATTATTTTATTGCCCCAAACATTTGCAATCGGCATATTCAACATTAACCCGCACCATTTGTTAACAGTGTTAACAGTCTAATTAAGCTAATGTATAATTAGAACAAGGAATTTTCAAAAGAATTTATAGCAAATCAGAGATTGCTGAACAGTTTTACATTATTTCCTTATTATGTTAATAATGTTTGAAGACATGAGGAGGAAGATTATTAGTATAAAAATCTACTTTATTAATCCCTAAGGGAAATAAAGTTGTATTCACAAAGTACTTTAAAACCAAATTTAGTTAAAAAAAAACTCTAAAAGATACCACAGCGCTCCATGTTTTCAAGGACAGGTAAATTGATGAAGGCAAGAATCCAAGATTTAACTTGAATTTATTCGTGCTTCTAAATCTAAAGTAAAGTTCCAAAGTATGTCTGCTCCTAAAAAGGTTCAACAATAAGGTTTACCTTCATTTACAGGAGTTTTTATTCATGCATCCAGGAGAAAATCAAAGCTTGATATGTAGATTTGTGTAAGATAGTAGGAAAATATACCAACGGCTGGAAGTTGGTGAAAATCTGAGCTCAAATAAAGGAAAAAGGAGCAAATTAGCTGCTTGATTTAATATATAATCAGTCAGGTATAAAGAAGAAAGGGGAAGTGTTTTTTTCTAGGGTATTCTTCCTGATAGAAATATATTTTTTTCTAATCACCCAAACCATCTTTGAAAGAAAGTTTTGCATGTAGTAACTAAGGTTCACTAAGGAGATAAAAGTGAAATGTTTGTGAAAGCAGCTCTGGGTTAATGTCATGCTTCTGCTGACAAGGGTTGGAGTTTATGAGTGAAAAAAAGTGACTCATAACTATCTGTAGTATTATGGCTTCTAGCAACAATCTTCCTTATTTTCCAATCTTTAGATTAACTGTTGCTTTTTCTGACCTCAGGCAGCTTCAGGATTTATGTCTCATCCAAAACGCAGCCAAAAAACAGCCTTAATAAAAGCACGGATATTTTGCTCTGAAAGGAAAACTACCTTTTAAAATCGAAATATAGTCCAACCTGCTTAGATATAAAGGCTCGCCCACCTAATGTTGTAAAAAAAAATGTATCTCTTGCTAGTTATTTGATTTCAATCTCAGATCTGTAGGGTTCAGAGAAAAACTTACAAATTCCCATCTCCTAAATAACGCATTACATCCCAGAAATGAATAAAAATATATTCCTTGTGAACTGAGCATGCAGCTCTTATAAAATTAGAAGTCTGTGATGCACCCAGTGAGAGATTCCTCTTTGGTGGTGTCATGACTTTTCTGTTTGCCGACGTGCCGCCTTTTCTCATGCAGCAGATGCCAAATATTGCATAAGCTTTATCTGCAGCACTCCTGTCATGCTTGAATAAGGCCGTTAATAAACATTTGCACAATAGAGACAGAGGTTTAAAGACCCAAAAGGCATTACTGTAATAGCTAGATGAAGCTGCTACTGTTTTCAAATAGTGTCTGAAATGTGCCATGAGGTTAAGGAAGGTGTTGGAAACAAATTAAATGGTTCTAAATGGCAATGGGGTTTAAAAGAAAGGGAAAGGAAGAATATGCATTATGTGAAAAAGGTAAAAACCCAAATCTTTTGTGGCATTTATAACCTACGCTCAGCAAAAAGTGCACAGGTGGAAAATAACAGAACTTCTCATTTTGAAGCTGTGTGTATAAAACTGCTTGTATGACCTGCAATGTTTCTTTTTTTCAGCCGAGCCCCAAAATGTGTTTCAGTCTGGGCTGCAGAGCTGTGCACTCAAAAGTAACACGTTTGGTCTTTGAGATTCATAAGCAAACAAACCAAGCGAAGCTTGGGGATATGTTTTTCCCTCGCTCTGAGATCTCTACACAGAAATATCACGATGTTTCTCTCCTTTAAGTACAGCTGTCTTTGATGATTCAGGAAACTAAGAGCTTTGTGATGTTGTGTGTCAAAGCTGCCCGATCTGCTCTTTTCCAATAAGCAGCTCGGCTATGATGTGAAACATACACTGCCTGAGAGAAGGAAATAGTGATTTAAGTCTGTATCAAGGCCACAAATCTAATATTCTGTTAAATTATCCATTTCATTATTTAACAGGTTTGCCTAATCATTTGCTTCGCTGACTAAAACTGATATCAATGAAATTTTGAAAAGCAGCCTCTTGTGCAGAGCTGCAGAATCCTTTAAATTCTTCTAATCTTTTCTGAAATGCATTTTTTAAATCAAATCTGTAGCGCCAGCTCAGCGAATTTTGTATAATCTGTAGGGTTTTATAGTCAGCTCATCAACCCCTTTTAACCCCTACATCCATCACATAAAATGTTCATTATTTGGCTGCAGCAGGAATGGAGACATTCACTTTCCCTGCCACGCTTCAGTTTGCATCTGACAGAACATATGAGAGTATTTAAAGCCCAAATGTTTCTGTGCAGTAGTTTGTTTTCACACAAAAGAGCTTTGCATTAAGAAAGGTAGTTTTGCAAGTCTAGAATTGGGTGTAAGAAAATCGCTACTTACTTTTACCTGCCCTCATGTACACACAGCGAGGAAGATGGAAAAGGTTTAAAAAAAAAAACAAGGATAACCGTTTGAGAAAGGCAGCTATTTATTTTTTTTACGTATGGTTAAATAACTGTAAGATAAGCCATGGCTGGTTAAAAGTTGGTAAAAAAAAATTAAAAAAACAAGTCAGTTTTTGCTGAGGAGAGATTAATGAAAATGAGAGATAATAAAAAGCTTCCTCTTGTGCAACTTTTGAATTGTATTTTCAGCTGCAAATTATCCAAATTAGTCAGTTTAGCATCATTTTTGAGTTTAAGCCACATCTGGAAGAGTTCCTATTGAAAAGGAGCTCTACAAAATCATTGAAAGTTTAAAAAGCTCTCTGATGAGGTGCTATTAAAAAAGTGTGTCTCAGTTAACTATTGAAGATTTGTTCAAAACAAACCAAAAAAACTTTTCTACAACAATGCTTTTTACACATCTTTACTAGCCTGTAGGTCATTGTGTAAAACATTTTGTAAAATCAATAAATAAATAACATCACGTAGTTGAACTTTCTTACCAACTCAGACCAACTAGGTAGTTTTTCTTGTTTGTCTTTAAGTATCTTTTTTTAATATTTCAATGTAGTGGAAATCTGCTTGCTTCTACACAAATGTTCCAACCGACCAACGAAGGATATTTCTATTCTATATGCAGAAATATGCTGTGAACTAACTATCATATTTTGTCCTGTATCAGTTTTTTTTGGTTGTGTTTTCTTTTTTTTTTTCCAATATTCCTGAACCGGTCTTGGAATATGCCAGAATTTAACTGGAGAGGTCAGCTGTCTGCCTTGGTTCCATCTGCTCCATCAAACTGGCAGAAATCCTTTTATTTCTTCATTCATCTGGAAACTCTGCAACTTATGTCAGTGGCTGAGGTCAAAGGACCTTTTTCAGTCATGAAACACCAACTGGAATTAATGCAAATAGATTTTCGAAGAATGCAAACAGCTGGTTATTTGACATATTTTCTAAAATGAATTAGACAAACCTGTTTTCCTATTTAAGACAAAAATAACCACCTTCCATTGGTGCAATATCTCACATTTCTAAAATGAATTATAGTACAACATTTTCCCCATCAGTCACATTATTGCTGTGAAGTCAGAGGCTGTGAAGCCAACTGTGAACGAATGTGGCTCTAGAAAGAAGAGATTTTATGTTTCAGTAGTGTGTAATTGCACCACATGTCACTCTTCATTTGTTTCAGGTCTATCAGTACATGCATGAAACGATTACAGTGAATGGCTGCCCAGAGTACCAGGCGAGAGCCACGGCTAAGGTAAGAACTACACAGCAGATCTATTATACAAATATTTGACATAAAAAAAATATGAATTATAACTGAAACCTTCACATAATGACTGATAAATTATCTGTTAACCACATTATTCAGTGATATCCCCACCAGTGGTTTCTAGCCACCTCTTAATAGCCCTCATTAGGAGAAGGTGTGTAATTAGGACAAAGCATAAATGGTTGCACCAGAGGCTGTCCTGATATCCAAAGATAAAGTATGATCTCAGTATACGAGGATGTACCCAAGGATGCTACGATTCCAAAACAAATCTTCTATTCATTCAGGCTCTTGCATACACGAATTAAGAATAATTTTAAATTGTGTGTTTTGCTGTGAACCAACACAGGAGTGATCCCACGGTTAGATGGGAAGAAGGATGATAAATCCACTGAAAATTATTTAATTGGGTTTAAGTCGTTAAAATTCCTTCTGCAAATCAGCCTTGCTAGAATATCAACAGATGATTTATTCTGCATCACTGTTTTTGCTGCTGCTAATGCATTTTGCAGATTTTGTGCAATAAGAAGAGTATTTGGATGCATAATGGATTTTGCACCACCAGATGTTAAAGTCCTAAAAAAATATAAATATTCTAAATAAAATATACTGAAATTTTTCATCTGTTCTCAAACACAGACTCAAAGAAGCCGTCTGATTTGTTAAATTTTTTTTCACAACTTTTATTTCAATTATAATTTGTGACAACCTAATTATCTTTATTGTTTTAAATTAGTATTGAAAAACACCAAAGGACTTCAGTGTTTTTCATTATTTTTTCTGTAACAGACTCAAACTTCATCAAGAAGGATGAGCATGTGATGACAGTAGACAGGGCTTGCATTGTGTCATTGATTCTGCAGATCCCTCACACTATGCATGCATGCAACAGTGGAGGGTATCCAGCAGAGTGAGGCTCAGTGTGAGTGGAGGTTCATGCAGACAGAACCAGACAAAGAAGGAATGAATATAAAAATTCAATAAATGGTTGTAATGTCATAAAAGCAACTTTTTTTGTTTTGTTTAAGGAATACCCGATACAACTTTTTCATTTCTAAAACAATGCTGATATTGTTGCTTTGAGAATTGGCCGATACAGATATCGACTCAATATGGTTTTTGCACTAATCACACAAGATTTTATTACTACTACTAAAATACTAGTACTACTAAAACAGGGAACAAACATCAACAACAAAGTTATGAAAACAAATAACCCATGTATAATTAACCAATGAGTTATAGCCAGTGTTGTGGTCAAGACCACCTAACCCGAGACCAAGACAAGACCAAGACCAGAGGGTATCGAGACAGAGACAAGACCAAGACTTTTAGGGTCCGAGACCAAGTCAAGACCAGCGCCAGTATGTGACGATAAAATGTGAAACATGATCAAAATCACAAAAATTGATCTAATAGACCCACATTCACATAAAAACACCTAGATATTTAACACACAGAACTGGACTAAACATAAACATCTTTATTTAGTACTTCTGTG